AGTGTAATTAAAGGGCCAGCACCACAGTGCTCACAGTGTAATTAAAGAGCCAACACCACAGAGGTCACAAGATAATTAATTTGTTTACAATTTACATAGATGATTTGGAGTTGGGGACTAAGTGTGGTGTGTCAAAATTTGCAGATGACACTAAGGTGAGTGGTAGAGCAAAGTGTGCAGAAGACACTGGAAGTCTGCAGAGGGATACAAATAGTCTAAGTGAGTGGGCAAAGGTCTGGCAGATGGAGTACAATGTTGATAAGTGTGAGGTCATCCATTTTGGTAGGAATAACAGCAAAATGGACTATGTTTTAAATGGTAAAAAATTGCAGCATGCTGCTGTGCAGAGGGACTTGGGTGTCCTTGTGCATGAATCGCTGAAGGTGGGATTGCAGGTGCAGCAGGTAATTAAAAAGGCAAATGGAATTTTGTCTGCCATTGCTCGAGGGATGGAGTTTAAAAACAGGGAGGCTATGCTGCAGCTGTATAGGGTCCTGGTGAGGCCACACCTGGAGCACTGTGTGCAGTTTTGGTCTCCTTACTTGAGAAGAGATATACTAGCACTGGAGGGGGTGCAGAGGAGATTCACTCGGTTGATTCCAGAGTTGAGAGGGTTGGATTATGAGGAGAGACTGAGTAGACTGGGATTATACTCATTGGAATTCAGAAGAATGAGGGGAGATCTTATAGAAACATATAAGATTATGACGGGAATAGATAAAGTGGAGGCAGGGAGGTTGTTTCCACTAGCAGGTGAAACTAGGACTAGAGGGCATCGCCTCAAAATAAAGGGAAGCAGATGTAGGATTGAGGTCTGGAGGAACTTCTTCACCCAAAGGGTTGTGAATCTGTGGAATTTCCTGCCCAGTGAAGCAATTGAAGCTACCCTCGCTGAATGTGTTTAAGGCAAGGCTAGATAAATTTTTGAACAGTAAAGGAATTAAGGGTTATGGTGAGTGGGCAGGTAAGTGGAGCTGAGTCTCAAAAAGATCAGCCATGATCTTATTAAATGGTGGGGCAGGCTCGAGGGGCCAGATGGCCTACTCCTGTTCCTAGTTCTTATGTTATGTTATCTTATGTTATGTTAAAGGGCCAGCACCACAGAGCTCACAGTGTAATTACAGGGACAGTGCCACAGTGCTCACAAGATAAAGGGCCAGCGTCTCAGTGCTCACAGGATAATTACAGGGACAGTGCCACAGTGCTCACAGGATAATTACAAAGGCAGCACCACGAGTGTTGTTCAGCACTAACACCATTCGGTCAAAAAGACATTCTGCTTATCACACAGATGTGTGATCCATACTGATGTGATGCTAGGTATGTAAGGTGTATGTCTCAAAGACTGGTAGAAAGTATCAACAGCACGTTCATTTGGCTGCTAGCAACAAACTAGGTTCTGACTGTACTCAACTACACTTACAAAACTCACAATACTAGTGTCTGGCATCTGATGTGATCCCTTGCCTGGACAGCATTGGCTAAATAGTCCTGAACAT